ATTTTGGGGCTAAAATACCCAAATTACCGGTACTATTAATCCCTTTATATTATTGAAAAGAAATTGACTCGATATAAATGCAATTGCTTTAAATATGTCTTGCTTTTGTTATTACTTTAAACGTCTTTCCATGGAAAGCAGTTCAACCATGTCTATGCTTTATTCATTCATGAATTGAAAGTAAGAAATCTCCATCCCGAAAATCTACCGATTTGCCGTTAAAAATTGCAGAAACTTGATATACCAGGTCGATGCACCCACTCGTTGAATTTACCAACCGATTTCGTGAGTGCAAATATGTAAAAGTCAATATGCTCTAGTCATTTTGAGTGCATTTATTTTTCATGAAACAATAAAAAGTAATTTCAATCCCGAAGAACCATTAATTTTCCGTATAAAATCTAAAAAATCAAAATATGTCCACTCCCTGGCGTGAAAATTAGATTCTACGTGTGAAAATGCTCATTTATCGATATATGCTGAACAGAAACGATTTGTGAATACAGTTAGAAGTCCAAGGCTCCATTAATTTAACAGAAAAATAAAACGGCAAAAATTAGATCGGATTTTAGCCGCTTTGCCCGCCTCTCCTCGTTATTTACAAACCGTTCCTATACTTATCGAAAAAATTTTCTCACAGCTTTGAGTTATTATCAGCTTCCATTTAAATCCCGGTTTGATGACCGAATCGGCTGCCCAAAAAGCAAGCGATTTTTGAAAGGTTGCATGAGAAATTCGTGATATAAACGGCTCTCAGGAAATCACCCCATGGCTAAAATTGGTGGTATAAATGTTTGAGAAACATATTTAAGAAACTAAGGCATTACACTATGGAGTCAATTTCGTTTTAATAATATAACAGGATTTACTACCGGTTTTTTAGCTATTATAGCCCCAGAATACTTTTGAAGTGGCTTTACTTTCCAGAATCTTGACCGAATTTTTTTTTTTTGCTTAAACGACTTAAGAGACACTGTAGTTAAAAAATATAAAGAATTTTCGATTTTGACCAAAAAAAAATGTTCGTTTAGGCACACCGTGTATTCTGTGGAGTACTGCTGCTATTCAAACCTTGTCTTCACGTTAAAATTCTTACAAGGAAGCCCCTTGCAAGAGGCGATTTTTTTGTAATTTCTCCCAATTTTTTCTCCGTTATATAATTGAAGTGCTTGTCAAATTCTGAGGTCAATTACATTTAATTGTAATTTATACATTTCTTTTTTTCCCTTCATTTTATTTTTCGTATGGAGAAGTTCCGTTGATTTCTTCGGATTTTGAGTACTGTTACTTCTCTTCTATTCGGCAGATTTTTATGAATGAGACCTCTTTTAATTCGTGTTTTAACGGAGAGTAAGGAAAAAATTGCTAGTAAGTAAACGCGAAACAGTTTCTTCGAAAATTGGACGAATCCTAGCGTGACGGTAAAATGGTTAATCAAGCGTAAACAATCGGGCGAGGGTCTGGGTCGGGTCGCTCGGGAAGAACAAAGAAACTGCCTCGGTTTCTGGATAGTGGTCCGGTGTGCAGGGAGAAGAAGGGTAAGTGGATTTCTGTAAAAGCGAATGATTTCTGTATGTGTTATGGTTAGCACATGGTCTAATGAGTTTTGAGGCTCATAACAGAATGCACTTACGGCTGTCCTGGCTGGCCCTGGCTATCAGAGCAGTGGTACCAAATTTTGAAAAGCATAACATGGGTGTAGATATCCGTCTATGCAACTTTTTAAACAAAACGGAAGAGTGAAATTCTCGTTCGAAGAGAACTGACCTGCGCAGCAATCTTCGAATCAGTTCGTTTGCTTCTGCTTATATATGCATATTTTAAATTAGCGGGGAGCATTCTCAGGTTTTTTTTTTAAAAAAACCAAGTAACGTCGTAGACCCTTGGTATTCATTTTACAAAAACTAGAAAGCCCCAGAATGAGAAAAAACTTTAAATCATAATTATTGTCGGATTAGTATACTTTTTACGCGCTTTGGAAAATCTCAGAAGTTCGCGGTAGTCACTTTCCGGTAAGGAACTAAGGGACTCGGTTATTGTATCGAGTGGTGGGTCGAAACGATCGCGAAGGCGGTATACTACGTATACGCGCCATAACAACCGAAAAGGCGGAAGTCCAACAACACACCTCAAAGCTACGGGACGCGCGGGGACAGAGGGACGGGACTGAAGATCCCCAGACTCCCGTGGGTGCTCAGGTGACCCCCTGTTCACTTCCTTGGGAGCACAGGAGCTTTCCTGGCTATTCCTTAGGTGAGCACATGTGATTTCGTGTCCATTCCCAGGGGAAATGTTTGTCAGGGCATAACTTGTGAAGCATGTAAAGTAGACCAAAACGCAGTGTTCTTTCGCACTGTATCGGGTGTGTTTCGAAATTTCAAACTTCCCCGCTACTAAACGGTCCATGTCACAAACATTTTTCGTCGTTTTAGACCTTAAAATGCTTATCATTTCTTAAAAACTCAATGGATCTTGATGAAACTCTGCCACTTTTCAACCCGAATTTAGGTGCGTCAGTAGACACCAAGATCGTTGAAATCCGTGCCGTCGTTTGGGCTGCAGTCAAATTCAAACCGAATCAATTTTCAGATTTAGGGAGTTATGTGTGTCTATAGTTGGCTGCCACCTTTTTCTTTGGACGCCATCCACTGTTGTCGAGTTTAGATTTGTCCGGAGGTGGCTACCACCACCCAAAATAGGTACTCAGATTATCAGAAACATATTTGACTGAAATCGTGGGTATTTTTTTTCCTCATAATTTATTAGAAATTTCGTGACATACAGTTAATGACAGTTCAAAAATAGTGTTAAATGAAAAATGGCATGTGAATGGACAATGTACATGAGATTTGGCATGGAAATCGGGGTGGAATGCACGGAACGCGGGACGTCTTCATGAGACTGGCATGGAAATCTTGACTATTTCAAAACCACCAAAAACCCCAAAAAGGTAAATGTCCTGTCAAAACTTGAGATCTCAGCACCAGATCATGCATTCAAGAAATTATGTTGCTTTGTTCTCCTTCAAAAGTAAAATCAGGAACGGAGATTTTGAAACACCGCAAACAAAGCATGTAATATGGGAGTTCCACCGTTGGAATGTGATGATCGCCTCCGCTTACAATTCCTTGTCCGGTAGACAGACGTATCATGCTACCGAAATAAGCGCGTATGGAAGTGTATCTCAACTTCCGCATGATCATCGGAAAGTATGAGAATTACGTAATACAGAGCGCATCTAAAAATTAGACTCGTCTGTACGTCAGAGGAGTGACTCATAGGCAATTTAGATTGCTGCGACGGAAATAATACATACGTTTTGGTCTAAGACCGTGACAAATCAACGAAATCCTCATTGGAAGACTACCTATCTGAGCCTCCCCCCTCCTACACTCTTTTCTCCTGATTTTATTTTCTTGTTCATGAACTAATTCGCTCTTATTGTTTTTTATCCATTTCAGATCAATTCATTATGTAGTGCTTACCGAAAATATTGTATAGGAATTAAAAAAGCAGACTGTTTATTGGTTGAAAAAACAAGGAATAGAGAATTTATGAAACTTTTAGCCGAGCCACCAATTCCAAGAAAGCGTCCGGATTTAACCACATTTTTGCACAAACCGTTAGAGGTAAGCAAAAACTTATCGATGACCAAAGTGCGACACCATACATACAGGGTGATCCAAAAGTCCCTTCCACCCCCTCTAACTTTTTACCTAATTGAGGTAAAGATTTGAAACTTGGGGGATATTCCTAGGTCAAAGGGAGCTACTTTTTGGCCCCCCTAAAATTTTCAGGGGGCCCCCTTGGGGGCGGGGGGGGGCAACGGCCCCCAACTTTTAATTTTCAAATGGGAGGACCCCCTTTGTGATAGCTCGTTTGAAAGAACATAAAAAAAGACAACTTTTCGCGCAAACCCGAAGTCAATATCTCAAACCGTTTCAAAATGGCGGACGGTTAAAGTTCAAAATGGCCGAAAATTCACATCGGTTATTTGTCGATGGATTTGCGCGAAAATCGGTATGTATGGGTATTTTGACACGAGAAAAACGAATTTGACGTTAGATTTTCCAAAAAACCAAAATTTCCAAAATGGCCGCCGGTTAAAGTTAAAAATGGCCGAAAATTGTCACCTCGGATTTTTCCTGATGGATTTGCTTAAAACTTGGAATTTGAGAGTATTTTGGCATAAGATAAACAAATTTGAACTTAGATTTCTAAAAAAATCAATTTTTGGTCATTTTGAACTTTAACCGGCGGTCATTTCGAAAATTTTGGTTTTTTTTAAAAATCTAACGTCAAATTCGTTTTTCTCGTGTCAAAATACCCATTCATACCGATTTTCGCGGAAATCCATCGACAAATAATCGATGTGAATTTTCGGTCATTTTGAACTTTAACTGGCCGCCATTTTGAACCGGTTTGAGATATTGACTTCGGGTTTGCGCGAAAAGTTTTCTTTTTTTATGTTCTTTCAAACGAGGTATCACAGAGGGGGTCTTCACATTTGAAAATTAAAAGTTGAGGGCCGTTGCTCCCCTAAGGGGGCCCCCCTGAAAATTTTAGGGGTGCCAAAAAGTAGCTTCCTTTGACCTAGGAATATCCCCCAAGTTTCAAATTTTTACCTCAATTAGGTAAAAAGTTAGAGGGGGTGGAAGGGTTTTTTGGATCACCCTGTATAGGTATACTTCCGTTTGCGGCAATCTAGACTTCCTGTCATTTTTTTTTCCTTTTGAAGAAAACTCAACTTGATATCTTGAAGACCGCTTTCATTTCTCCTTTCTATTAATAGACTATCCAGTATGAATTTCAAGCTTTTATAAGCTGACTTTTAGTCCTGGTCTTACTCACTAGCCCCCCCCCCCCCCCCCCCCCCCCCCCCCCCCCCCCCCCCCCCCCCCCCCCCCCCCCCCCCCCCCCCCCCCCCCCCCCCCCCCCCCCCCCCCCCCCCCCCNTTTTTCTAGGGGGGGGGGGGGGTCGAGAATTGGTAACTCCCCTTTTTTGTGATCGATAAACTCTAACAACGCAACGTTTTGTATATGTTTTGTACGTCCAAAAATAAATTATGTAACTGAAGGAGGGATATCGATAAGGGCGATAAGTGAATCTGGTTTATGCAGGTTTTCCAAGTTAACTCAATGCAGTTTACGGAAGTAATCATGATTTGGTTCATAGTTCACTGGATTTGTGTTAAACGGTTGCCTGAACATAGGTCTGCAGGCGCATTTCACCGAAAAATGCGTGTTTTCCTATCACTCCGTGGCTTTTTCGACACCGAGTAAATCGTCTGACTAAAATGAGCTTTTCATATGTTTAAACTTATAAAATCAAGTCGACACATAATTTTTTTAGAAATGAAGTGGATTACATTTAAATTAAGTTACTAGAAGAGGACTCATTTTAACCCTGAATTGGTGTCAGTTAGATGGTGTGCTCTAGGAGGCCTAAAAAGGCCCTTATGGATATCTCTCCTTTTAGAGGGGCTATACAAAATCTTAGGGCTGGCCCGTCCCCCCACTTTACGATCAATAAATTCTGACAACGCCAACGTTCGGCAAGTGTTTTCTAAGTAAAAAAAAAGTTTGTGACTCAAATTTTAAGTGGAGGATACGGCTTCCTAAAATTTTGGCGTCCCCCCCCCCCCCNCCCCCCCCCCGGCCATTACTTCGCAATCGATAAATTCCGACGACGCTCTCTTTTCTTTAGTTATTTAAACGTTTTGTAAGTCCAAACACATTTTTTTAGCTCAATTTTTGAGGGGAATACGGCCTCCCAAAATATTGGGGTCGATTCCGCCCCCCCCCTCACCACACTGCAATCGATAAATTCTTATAACGCTAACATTTTGTAACATTTTTAAGTCGTTTTCTGGGGGAACAGCTTTGAAAAAATTTGAAAAACACCCAAAATTTTTGTAACTTAACTTTTGGAGGATACAGCTTTCCAAAAATATCTGGTTAGGCACGGCAAGGTCCCTAAATGATCAGGGTCAATTGTACCATTCGAATATCTCGCGCAAAGACCACTCATATTTAAATAATTTACCATAAAATAAAATTGTACTTCCCGCTCTTTTGTAACGGGTAATCACCGCAACCGTTGCATGGATCTCGGTGCGGTTGTTCCGATGCGATGGTGTGCACCATGCGCTCGCGGAGGTCAGCCACTAAAGGACTTTATCACTTGATCAGTTCTCTCCTTCCGATGAAAAATAAGGCCAGTAATTTTCTCCAAATTTATTTTACGGGATACGAAGATAAAGAAGTCCATAGGCGTCGCCAAATTGTAGGCGGATTAAACGAGAATTTAACTTTACAATTACAAAGGATGTTCCGTGAGCAAAACCACCTCATGTGAACATTTAAAACTGCTTTGGAGAGGATGCCGAATGAAAAATATAAGATCGTAATCCATCCAGATCGCACACTCTCTGGTCAACATCCGCGTAGATATAATGCTGTTGAAGTAACACAATAAAAGACCGGTTTATCACTGAAAGCCTATGCGGAGGCACTTTTATTCATTTAAAATACTTATACAATTTGATTTCTAATAAACAACTTATACAACTTACTTGGCTGCGATCATGAGCGGATATAATAATGTTGATAAGAGGGGTAGATGACCGATGAGGTTCGGCACACCGATTGATCAATGATCGGCGGGAAATTACAAATTCAACATGCCTCCTTAATTTAGAAACTGAGACAAAAAGGCGAGGTTACTAAATTACAATCCATGACAGTCAGTTATAAAGTAATTTAACAGTTTTTTTTAAAAAAAATAAAGAAGGTAATAACGTACGCATTATGAATGACGCATATTATCTTCCCTTGGTAGAGTTCTTTTCCAAGGAAAAAAAAAGTCTAATTATACGATTTTAAAAAAAAAGGAATACTATGCGAGGTACTATACGACTTCTTGAAGGATGCCCGTCCTTCAACAAGACCGCAAGAATCAAACCAAAAGGAAAATTTGCGGGCACAATTTTCCGATTAGTTTTGCTCAGAACTAGCTAAAGAGTTCTTGTCTTAATCTAGTGCATAAAATCATTAAAAGTTTGAGTAAGATTTGATTTGTGACTGAAGAGATTACAATTGCGTTTTTACATATTTAATATGCCTCCTTGATTTTTGTACGAGATTACTAATTACATATTGTTCAGTACGGCATTTTTAAAATAAAGACAGGAAAGACTTGACATCATTTAATTTAAGGTTCAAGATTCAATAAATTTCTGAATTTTTGAAAATTAATTTTGCCCAATGCTTTAGTAAGAATATCTGCTATTTGTTGTCAGCTAGACACTTTAACAATATCTATTTCTTTCTTCTGATAATAATCATTTACATAGGTAATGTTATCGTACATCAATGTTTTTTTTAATTTTTGTGAAATTTACTGTTTCTGGCAAGTTCGAAAGCACCTTTGTTGTCCTCAAAAATTGGAACAGGATGATCAAAATTTATTCCTATCTCAGTTAACAACCCTTTGATGGGTAATAGTTCTGTAACGCATTCAAAAAGAGCATAGTACTCTGCATGAGAAGTGGCGATCGATATGACTTTTTGTTTTTGAGATTTCCAAAGTATGGGCGTGTCGTTTATTCTTATCAAAATTCCAAAGGTAGATTTACGATCAACAATATCTGAAGCAAAGTCTGAGTCTACATAAGCGTCTAATTTTACATCACCATTTCCATTGAATTCAAGCCTTAAGTCTCGGGTATAATACAGATATTGCAGAATTCTAAGAGCATATTTGTAACGTATTGGCGAACAGGCATTTTGAAATCTGCTTAACAAATTTACTGAAAACGAAACGTCCGGCCTTCTGCCATTTGCTATATAAAGTAACGTGCCAATTCTATAGTTAATAGATGTATTAGTATTATCAGAGGGCATTAGTTTTAAATTTTCCTCCATAGGGGTGGCATAATCTATACTATAAGCTCCAAGACCTCCTAATTTTGCGAAACTGGTAACGCTTAGTTCCAGCGTTCTACCGGGCCGATTTTCATGATTTTTGCGGCTATCGACGTGCAATTGTCTCTAGATAAGCCAACTCTTTTCAGATTTTCAAAATATGGCCCAGGTTTTTTTATATTACGTGGTAAAGTTGCGAATTCTCCCATTTAAACAATGTAAATTTATACTTTTTGTCATAGTTCGTTTGAGCGTTCTACCGGGCCGATTTCCATGATTTTTGCGTACATCGACAGGTAATAGGCCCTAGATGAGCCCGCTGTAATCAGATTTTGGAAAAAGGACCCAGGTTTTTTTTAAAATCACGTTATAAAAGTGAGTGAGTTTACAGATTGCTCCGGTACTGCTACCGCTATGCGCGGGAGGATGCGCAGTGGTCGAGGAGGTTGGGCAGTAGCTGTGTAGCCTGCGCATCAGCTCTATACTTATCTACACAAGATTCGCACCTCCTCCCTCAAGACGAGCGGTGGCCGAGTCGTCTAAGACGTCGAATGCGTCCACTTAGACTACGATGTGGGTTCGATTCCCGACTTTTGATATACTTAATTATTACCTGATTATCATTGTTCGTTGTTTTACTGCAATACTTCATCAAGCAGTCATTCTAAAACGCTTTCTTTTGACTTCAAAAAATTATTTTTTTC